CCCAGTGCACCCACCTACCCAGTGCACCCACCTACCCAGTGCACCCACCCACCTACCCAGTGCACCCACCTACCCAGTGCACCCACCTACCCAATGCACCACCCACCTACCCAGTGCACCCACCCACCAACTCAGTCCACCCACCCACCTACCCAGTCCACCCACCCACCTACCCACCCACTTCTTAATCGCTCATTCGAATAATGAGCACTAATTTACGACCCTTGTTCAACCCACTGCTGGATGGAGATCAGATACCTTCCCATGCTCTATCTGGACACGGGGGCTGTTTGACCATTACTCTACCACGCTGGTCAGGCAAGGGTTCGTGAAGAGGGAGGGCCCAGGACCGCCGATCAGGTATTGAACTCGCTTCGCCGGGGTTCATAGCGAGGCACTCATTCATCCAAGCGACGCGCGTAGCAGCAGCAGCAGCGGCAGCGGCGGCACGTGCTCAGCACACAACCACCGCTTATTCGTCCGAGTCAACCATCACCTCCCTCCTTGCCCCCCCACACACCATCATCCCCTTCTCGCCCGAGAGAACGCGGCTCAGCCTCCTAAGTCGCGTCGCATGGGACGAGGCCGCGGCGGCAACGGAGTAAGAAACACAGAGACAGCGGCGTTCGTCGGAGACCTCTAAATGTTTGCCGATCTCGCGAAATGTGCGGTCTGGGGACGGAGCGAACGACATGAGACCGGCGGTGTGGCGCAAACGAAAGGAAATAACAAAAAAAATAGATTTCTAAAATCCACCCGCTACTGCGGTTTGCGCGAAGAATGTGGATCTGTTGGACTGCATTAGGGGAATGAAACGTCTCAATGTACCCGCTGCGAGCACCCCGATTCGTGAAGCGGGCCAGGGGGGGGTTTGGTTGCTCGCACCGCGGTACGAAGCCCGCGGCGACACGAGTTCGATTCCTTGGCCGCGGCCGACGGGAGCGGCGAGTGATATATGAACCGATCCTTGGGTGGTTCCCTTTCACCAACCCCATTCTGACCGGCGTGGTGAAGTATGGTCAACCAACTCCCGCTGGCCGACAAGGCGCAATTATTTAGAAATCAATTACCAATTTTGTTGTTTTTTATAATTAAAACAAAATGCTAAAGTGCATTGAAAATGTCGATTTAAAGCTTTCGTGACTGCAGGGATTCATCTTCTTGGTTCTTTCGGTAAAGTCACGTAGAAGGGAAATAATAAAATAATAAAAATAAAACAATAAAATAATTCTCACGACGTTTCGGCTACAACGCAAGCAGCCGTCCCCAGGTGAAGAGGACGGCTGCTTGCGTTGTGGCCGAAACGTCGTGAGAATTATTTTATTATGTTTTCTTTTTATTATTTTATTATTTCCCTTCTACGTGACTTTACCGAAAGAACCAAGAAGATGCATTGAAAATAATGTAATGATAAACACTTGGCAGCCCGTTTGTCAACCCGCTGCTGAACGAAGGCCTCCCCATGCCATGATAGACGTGGAGGTTGTTTGACCATACTTCACCACCCACGTTGGTCAGTGCGGTAGGTGAAGGAAGAGGTCCCAGGACCGGTTCAGACACCGCTCGCCACTGATGTGAGCCGTGGACGGGAATCTAACTCAGCGTTTGCCGGTTTCATAGGCGGTGTGCGCATCGCACCGTCCATCTAAAAATACCCCCTTTGGATAAACTCCAAACAATTCCTTCCCCGCAGCATCACGGTAAAAAAATGTAAATACCGTAAATTATATTTGAACAGAAATGAAACCCTACCGGCCGTCACAGAGATGTTTGGATTCCTCGACAGACCGGCAGAACGTTCCTGAAATCGCCAAGGGTCGTCGCTTGCGAGCAAAAAAAATCTGAATTTAAATTTCGATTTAAAACCTTTCGTGACTGCAGGGGTTCATCTTCTTATTATGTTTTATTTTTATTATTTGATTATTTTCCTTCTACGTGACTTTACCGAAAGAACCAAGAAAACAAAAAGCTGCTTCGGGCCGCGATGACGCGTCACCTCCCCTTCGAGTAAACACCAGTCGACTTCAATCGACTAAATCCCAACTCTGGGCGATAAAACATCGGCTTGACCGTCATTCGACGAACCTCGCTCACTCTCATACAGCAGAGCGAGCGGGGAAAGTGCTCTGCCCCTCGACTGTGCGTGGCCCAGTGTCACTTGATGGGGCCTCAAGAAGTGGCTCTGTGATATCCCCTTCCGCGGGCCGTTCTCTCTGCGAGAGAATCCGAAGGGCGAACACAACACCGCGCACCGTACATTGTTCTCTTTCTCAAAACACCGTCTCTCTCTGCGCTCGAAAAGCACGCGCCGACGAAAACAACGAAAGAGAGAGAGGGATGAGCGCGAGTTATAGAGAGGAGAGAGAAATCTAATGACAAACACCTGTGGCCACGTCTGATTGCTCTTCTCCCCCCCCCCCCCGCCGCCTCGGATGACATGATGTTTTCAGCATTAGAAGGCGGCTGGTGGTGATGGGGGTCGTGCCGGGTGGGTTTGTGGGTGGGAGTCAGGGATTGAACTCTGACCCTTGTCAAAAAACATTTCTGGGGTGAAATTTTATGAAGAGCTCCTCTGCCCATCCCAGCCCTTCTACCCCCGCAACCCTCCCGCCTCCGCCCTCTACCCTCCACTCGAGGGAGGCGGGCGGGGGGTTTGTGCCGAGTTGAAACTGACCACTCAATGGGCTCCACAGCTTGCTTCTTATTCGTGTTGTTGTTGCTGTTGTTGTTTAAAAGATAAAGTTTACACGGTTTAACAAAGGGACACGTAATGGACGCACCAAGAGAAAGAGAGGATTGGACATAAAAACTAACCCACGGAACTCGCTATGCAATGCTGTGAGGCATGATGGGTAAATAAATAGATATACTGATTTTAAGCTTTCGTGACTGCAGGAATCCATACTCTTTGGTTCTTTCGGTAAAGTCACACTATCTACTATGTGACTTTTACCGAAAGAATCAAAGAGTATAGATATACTGACATCCATTTCGTCTCTTCACATAAAATATATATTTTCGTCTTCTTGGTTTTTTCGGTAAAGTCACGTAGAAGGGAAGTAATAAAATAAAAATAATAAAACATAATAAAATAATTCTCACGACGTTTCGGCTACAACGCAAGCAGCCGTCTTCACCAGAATTATTTTATTATGTTTTATTTTTATTATTTTATTACTTCCCTTCTACGTGACTTTACCGAAAAAACCAAGAAGATGAATCCCTGCAGTCACGAAAGCTTTAAATTGAAATTTATATTTTCGGTTCATCAGCCTTGACCATTTCAAGACCACCGATAATCATCATCAGTTTAGCAATCCACTGCTGCATGAAGACCTCCCCAATGTCGTCGTCGGTCATGGGGATTGTTTGAGCATACTTCACCGCGCTGGTCAGTGCGGGTCAATGAAGGTTCGGCGCAGGACGGGTTCAGGAATCGAACCCAGGTGTGCCCAGGGCCGCAGCGCGGGGCGCTAACCGCTTGCGCTACCGCTCCACCCGATGACGATGGTTGATTCTGGGAAGGTGAAAAAGGTTTTGAGAAGTCTCTGGCCAACGTTTGACTGACCTAATATAGTACAAAGCATTCTTTGAGCTCAACAATTTACCAACCGAAGTAGGGACGCTTTTTGCAAGGGAGCGTTTAATGTTGAAAAATTGCTGCTGTTAGTGTGAGCCTAAGCATGCTCTAAACATCTCATTCTCGCAGCCTTCTGACCGCCGTTTGTATATGCGAATTGCTCTATGAATAGAATTTATATTCTCCGCAACTGTAAAGTAGTTTAGTGTTTTTTTTTTTTAACAGCACAAAAGCTTCCTTTGATTTGAATGATTTCATTTACATTTTTCAAAATGAATTATGCCAGCTTGTGCGTTCTTTGCCAACAATTTTTTTAAAAATTTTCTTTCCCCATTTGAGGCAACCCGGGAGCGCATGGCTTTTCATGGTGCACGCGCGCGCGCTCGCGTGGCCTCCTGGGGCCCTCCCAGGGCATGCGGGTGGCCACGTGTGGCCAGGGCAATGCCTCGCTCGAGAAGACATCCCCGCCGAAGGCTCCCAGGCCGGCGCTTCGAAGGGATTGCCGGCGTAAGGCAACTCGCGACCAGCGCACGGGTACGTCAACTGATAATACAGACTTCTTGGTTCTTTCGGTAAAGTCACGTAGAAGGGAAATAATAAAATAATAAAAATAAAACATAATAAAATACAATTCTCGCGACGTTCTGAGAATCAAAGAGTATAGATATACTGACCGAAACGTCGTGAGAATTGTATTTTATTATGTTTTATTATTTTATTATTTTATTATTTCCCTTCTACGTGACTTTACCGAAAGAACCAAGAAGATGAATCCCTGCAGTCACGAAAGCTTTAAATCGAAATTTGATAATACAGAGTTAGACCCTACATCAACCCTATAATCCGACGAATTATTTGGCGAGACGGTTGCGTTGGCAGTGGCGCACAAGCACAAACAACAACAACAACACACGTCAGCATTTACTATGACGAAGTAGGGCCGTTGCCCGAAACGTTGCCTATATACTTTTTTTTCATTTTAAGGCCACACGGTGCTACCGACGGCTGTGTTGAGTTTGTGGTTTTACAATCCGATGGACCACGAGGCCCAACACAAGGAGAGACGGACGCGGCGGGCCAATCTCGCTCCCAAAAACAATCTCCAAACGGCCCAATTCCATTGGCTAGGCATTCAAGGGGGCAGTAGATTTCGGTAAATCATCCGCCTCTGTCCGTCTAGCAGTAAAAGAGGTCACACCGTGCGCTCGATCGATGGGTAGGTCGTCTACGATGGTGGGTTTAAAGTGTGGGTACTCGTACCTCTTCCAAGGGTGTCTGTCTGTCCAGAGTGAAAGAGCAGGCCGAGGGGCGCTAGACAAAGCTCCCTCCCTGTGGAGGCCCCCTCCCCAACCCCCAGCAGTGGCGTGAGTGGGCAATCGCAGAGCGGCCACCTCTGGCCCCCGTTGCTGACCAGCCGAAACTGCCTCGTGTCGTGGTTGCACCTTCGGCACCGTCACACGCGGTTAAGCCACGATTCCTGGCGCGCGCCAAGAGAGAGGGGCGGGGGGGGCTGTGACCTCTGGGCATGACTCGACTCGATGGAAACGTCTCGGCACTGCCCAGGTATTTATTATTTAGTTTAAGCCTGCATGACAGCGGCTGACGATTGGCTAGGCGCGGAGTAAGTCCACGCCGAGGGATCTGTTGTGGTTGCGATGGCTCTCAGCGCCGCACTCGATGTTTTTGACCCGCAGCAGCTGTAGCACGCGGAGTTTAGCAAGGAGCTGACGCAGTCGGCCTTGATGTCTCCACTGCTCGGTTAAAATCCCCTCCGCCCCGCCACCCCGCCCACAATGCTGTCACCACATCTCAGGATCACCGGGTGTCGAAATTGATCTCGCTCCTGCGGACGGGCGGATTTCATCGCTCGGTCTCCTTGGTGGACGCGTCCTGCCCGCCCGCCACTCCATCACGAGTCTCAACCACAGATCATCGTCCTTCGTGGCGACGTGGATCAGATCGGGGACGGGCGCAGGCGAATCGCATCGGCTTCACTGGGAAGAAGAGTCGGTGAGCTCGGGCACGACGCGTCACGGCGAGGAGATACTGTGGCAGTCAGGGCCTAGAAAGCGGCCGAAGTACGTCCAACCGCGGAGATGGAGCGATGGAATCGGCTTGTGTGCAGGTGTTGGGCGATCAGTGAGAAATGGAAGCGGCTTTGGGAGGGGGGGGGGGTATAGGCCATCGCAAGCCGTCCAGTAGTGGAGTGATCACGGTTGGCGATGACGACGATTACAATTGGAATGCGAAAGTTAACGGCCTCGCGGATGTGACGTAACAGGTGGGAGGAGTTAGGGTCACGTGGGGAGAGAGGAGAGCTTTTAAGGGCAGGAACCGGAAGGGCTGGAGGAGCGTGTGGGAATAAAGACAGGAGGAGGCCACGCAGGGCAGGAGGTGGAAAGTGGCGTGATCGCCACAGGTCGGGACTCGGCACCGTTGGCCAGCGGTGTCCGGGCACGGAGGAGGCGGAGAGTCAGCAGCGGGGCTGCATAGAGAGCAGCCGAGGGGGGCTGCAGGTCGGAGGCAGAGAGGCTGAGTGAAGAGCCAGCAGTGGGGCTGCATAGTGAGCCAGCAGCAAGTCTGCAGGGGCGACGGCAGCAGTGGGGCTGCCGAGCGGGAGACGGAGGAGACTCTGAGCGAGACGCCGTGCGGGCAAAGTTGTACGAACCACAATAAAGGACAACGGAGACAGACCCAGTGCAAGAGTCCTTTATTACACAATGAATGAATGTGTCGACTTAAAGCTGTCCCGACAAGTTCACACCGGCGTCGTTCGCCGCTCTTCACAGCACGGGAAGGCGAAGGTCACCGGAATCGCTTCATCATTCGCGAGGATCGGACAAAATAACTCCACGCACAGAGAGGGCACGCAACGCTTTTGTGCAACTCCGAGGCCATGCGTGCCAACACGCACTAAAGGTTTAACAAAAAAAGAAGCCACCGTGTAGCCCCATAGGCTGTTGAGGCAAAGTGCAGTTAGCGAGCACCTGTTAAGGCCGGACAGGCTTAGGAGTGTGGCCTGCACCACCACGCACAATCCCTGTGGTTGCCACCTGTCCTGTTTTTTCCCAGGATCCGTCCTCTCGTTGAGGAGGTTGGCGGTCCTGGTAAATGCCTTCCTGAGATATTAAAAGTCAAGGTATTAGTCGATTGCATAACCATTGGAATACGGAGCCACAACTGAACACAACGCATGTAAGATTGAGTTCTCCCTTCTCCTTCTCACGATGTGTCCCGGTTTTTGTTTGTTTGTAGCTCGGAGGTGGCAACACCATGACGGGTCTTCCCACTGCTTATGTCGACGCAAACTCCAACGCAGGCGCTACGTTATGCGGCCGACCTTTATCCGTGAACAGGTAGGGGCGGGGGGGGGGTCCTTTGGGAATGGAAGTCTCTTTTTTTTTTCTAAGAAAGCGTTGACCTACGGGAGGCCCAGGACAGGTTCACACACCACGTGCCACTCTTCCCCACGGAATCAAACCCAGATGCCGGGATCGTATCCAGGTAAATGCGCAGCCATAGCAATGTCCTGCACACGCTGCTGCTTGCTGGAAGGGCTTCCACACGAGAGGGTATTTTGACCGACTCTTTCACGTTCGCCAAACGTCCTGGGAATGGGTGCAAGGACCCGCACGCACACGGGCATGCTAGTCGACTCACTGCGGTGAAGCCATTTGCACGGCTGGACGAACCGAGGGTGGTGGAGGCGGCTTTTCGAAACGTGCACCTCATTTTCAACCGACGCATTTGGGGATCGAACGGGTGACTTCGAGATGGCAAGCACAGAGTGATATCCAGTCGCCCAGGGCAGCATCGCCCACTGCAGCACCTTCAGAGGCGCTTGCGTGACGTCATCTTCCACGTGGAATGTTCTACCAAACTTATGGCATGATGCTGTGAGCACGAGGGCTTGGTTTCATCGGGTTCTGTCCAGATCAGCGACACGGCAAATGTTTCTGCGCCCGGCGCACAACATCCAGTATCCATCAAGCTATGGCTACTCGCCACGTGCCTCTTCCGGTCTATTCAGCGTCCTGGAATATATTCGGTGAGAAATGAAGCACTGCTTATTATCATCATCATCATCATCAAACTAACATCATAATTATTCATTATCATCACTTTGCAACCTTCTCTCTAGAAACCCTGGCCCTCACACGCATGCATCTGACAATAATTAGAAACAGCCATCACGAACAATTTAATTCGGGTTCAATTTTCAGTGGCTCCGAGTCCAACAATACCCTGCCGCACGCTGTGTACATCACACGCCGCATTGGAGAGGCGAATCAATCAAACACGCGGCTCATGGGGAGAAGGGGGTGGGGGGGGCTGGAGGTGGTCATGTGAGAAGGGGTCTCGGTAGGGCCCCTAGGTTTGTAGCTGTTGCCTCGATCACGGCACAGGGCTTAGAGATCTCAACTTAGCGGGGTTCGCTACTTTGGCCGTCCAGACGTGGGAATAATTAGAATTTCAGATGCCCACCCCCTTCGGAGATGGAGGGGCGAGGTGGGAGGGGTGCGGTGGAACGAGATGATGGGACTGTGAATGCCACTCGGCAAAAGAGGCACAGGAATTGAGAAGTTAAATTTCGCATTAAAGCTTTCGTGACTGCGGGGATTCATCTTCTTGGTTCTTTCGGTAAAGTCGTGTAGAAGGGAAGTAATAAAATAATAAAAATGAAACATAATAAAATAATTAAATTTCGATTTAAAGCTTTCGTGACTGCAGGGATTCATCTTCTTGGTTCTTTCGGTAAAGTCGCGTAAAAGGGAAGTAATAAAATAATAAAAATGAAACATAATAAAATAATTTAATTTCGATTTAAAGCTTTCGTGACTGCAGGGATTCATCTTCTTGGTTCTTTCGGTAAAGTCGCGTAGAAGGGAAGTAATAAAATAATAAAAATTAAACATAATAAAATAATTCTCACGACGTTTCGGCCACAACGCAAGCAGCCGCGCAGACCTGGTCTTCACCTGAGGACGGCTGCTTGCGTTGTGGCCGAAACGTCGTGAGAATTATTTTATTCTGTTTTATTTTTATTATTTTATTACTTCCCTTCTACGTGACTTTACCGAAAGAACCAAGAAAATTGAGAAGTTCGTGGAGAAAGGTTTGAGCAGCCGACCCCAGCCAACGTTTGTGGGAAATTTGCCTTGGAATAATATTTAGGTATTTGTGCGTCTCTGAGCAAGTCTAGGTATGTGTGTGGGTGTCTGTGTAAATCTATGGATCGTGAAAGTGTCTAAGTTTGTGGGGTAATGTGTGCGTACGTCAGTTAGGATGTCTATGCAAGTTGGTGTGTCTCTAAAATGAAAAACATTATTCGGTGCCGCTGTGATGGCAGTGGTGCACAAGCAACAATGAATTTAAAACAACCCCCATACATTCATGAATAGCACTGTCGCATTAAAAGAAAGTAGATGATAGGCGACATTGCCCTAAACGTCACCCATTACACGCGTCTCTATGCAACTCTAAGTAAATTGCATGGGTCTCTGTGCAAGTCTGTGGATCCGGTGAGTGTATGCTAGTCTATGGATCCGAGTGTAAGGGATAGTGGATGTGGCTGGAGCCATAGAATTAGAAGCTCGTGGAGAAACGAAACGAGGGCAAGCCGACTCGATGGCTTCATTAACGACGAACTCGCCATCTCTGTGCGCGCATGTGTTTTTGTCTTCACTGCCTTCGGGGCTCTAAAAGGGTCCCAAAGACTCGTTTTGGCTTTTCCACCAACAGAAGATGCGAAAGCAAGACCGCGATTCGGGAAATATGATTTCATAGACCCCAGTTTCCATTGGCCGTGCGACCCGAGTTTGAACCCGGGTCGCCATCCCAGCGGTGTGATTCGGTATTCAATCTCAACTCGGGATGACGGGGGGAGGGGAAGGGGGGGGGGTGCGTTGGACTCTGCGTCCCGTATTTGTTTGAGTGGGCATTCGTTTCACGGACCGGCGCGGAGTTGACGCGCGTTAGACTCGGGGGAGGTAGAGCGGAAGGCGCACGTTCACGGTCGAAAATATTGCAGGCAGTGGGGGGAGAAAAATAAAGTACCATTCGATGAGCTGCACTGGCTACATATTGAATGCAGAATTGCGTACAGATTATGCCTACCTCGCTTTCCAGAGTCTCCATCAGTCTGCCCCGTGCTATCTCGCCGATGGCTGCGTACCAGCTTCAACAGAAACCAAATCGACTTCCCCCGACTACGATCCGTGGCTCGCGGCGACCTGCTGCTGTACCCGCCGCGTGTGTGAACCTCGCGCGTGATACCCCCGCGTGTGATACCTCGTGTGTGATACCCCGCGTGTGATACGGTCAGCGCAGTTTCGGGGTCTCCGGCCCAAAGACCTGGAAACACGCGACCAGCCCGTGTTCGGGATCTATCCCCGAGTCCGAGCCAGTTTCGCAAACAAACAGACTCAGAACGGCGTTGTTGTTGTTGTTGTTGTTGTTTCAGCGAGCCGACTTCTACGTGTGCTCACTGCGGCATTCGTGATGGACTGGACTCATAAGGGTGCGCAATAACAAATGTTCTTACTTACGTCTTAATTACTTATTTTTGTGCCGGTCTGCACCGTTGCCTCGCATGCCCAGTAAACTCGGCAGATCGCGAACTTTTAGTTTAAAACCCGACGCGGGTTTCCTTGAAAGTCGAGTTCTAGGAGAAATTGAGCAAACCCGGGCCAATTGGAGTTGACTCTAGTCAGCTGTTGCATGCAAGTCGGTATTTAAAATATTTCAACTATTTTTTTTATTTTCACCCGGTAAGGATCAGTGAGCTCCATATCTTTTTTTTCAGAAGCTGGTCACAAATGATAGCCCAACAAAGTGGCTTAAAATGTGGAAATGTATAGCAGCCAAATACTCGAAAACACGTGTTGATTATAAATGTGTAGGGAGTGACCGAAGGACCCGGAGAAAAATCCACGTGACCCACGGGGTGAGAGACACCGCAAACTCCAAATACACAGCAGGCGTTAGGGTCGGAATCGAACCCACGACCCTCCTGTATACCAGGCGAGGAAGTTAACATCTCCTAGCCAAAGATCAGGAGTCAAAGGAGGCAACGCACCATCAAGGATGCCCACAAGTTAGAGAGATGCTGCAATGAAATCCGCTCGGGTGCAGAAGCCACGCGTCCGAGTTTTTGTTTTCAAGTTGATTCTCTGTAACCAGGTGAGGACTAAAAAGACCACGATAGAGTCTCGTTTGCAACAACAAATGAGACACTATATTCTTAGGTTTTTTAGGTAAAGTCACGTATGTAAAAAATTAAAATTAATAAAAGTAAAATAAAAATAAAATAAAAATCACGACGTTTCGGAGGCAACACAAGCCTCCGTATTCAGGTGGAACCGTCACAGCACGATAGCTGTATCAAGTGAGTTCCACCTGAAGACGGAGGCTTGTGTTGCCTCCGAAACGTCGTGATTTTTATTTTATTTTAATTTTACATTTATTAATTTTATTTTTTTACCTACGTGACTTTACCGAAAAAACCTAAGAATATGAATTCTTGCAGTCACGAAAGCTTCAAATCTAGAAATGAGACACTGTCGACGGCGGTGCCCATTACACACCCCCCCCCCCCCTCAACCATTATATATACGGAGTGGTATCTCCTGTAATCTCTCATTTACTTGATACAGCTATCGTGCTGTGACGGTTCCACCTGAAGACGGAAGCTTGTGTTGCCTCCGAAACGTCGTGATTTTTATTTTATTTTACTTTTATTAATTTTAATGTTTTACCTACGTGACTTTACCGAAAAAACCTAAGAACACACCACCCCCCCCCCCCCTGCCACCCGGTTTGGCAGGTCTTCCGTTTCATCCAATGTCTGAGTGACGATGTACCTTCGTATTCCGTCGCCGACTGGCAAATCGGAAAGGAAATGCGTTTAGGACATTTTGTGAGACACGCGAATCTCTGAAAGTGTCTCGTTCCGAGGCATTTGGGGAAATCCGGCCCCTTCACGTGGCGTCCAGCGTTCCCGGGACAAGACGGAGTGACTTAATTGTATCGGCTGCAGTGAGCGCCGCCAAGTAATGAATGGTTCCAAAGCTCGTTTTTTTTAAGATTGACATGATGACAAATTATGGTGGTTACGTTGCCTTAACTCGGAGGTGTGAGGTTATTTTACGTTTAAAGTTTTTTTTTTTACATAGCGTGTTCGAACTCCACCGCACACTGCAATCCGTTAACTTACTTGAGGCTACTCTTTGGTTCTTTCGGTAAAGTCACGTAGAAAATAAAATAAAATAAAAATAATAATACGACGTTTCGGTTGCAACACCAGCAGCCATCATCAGGTAAGAATGAATGATAAAACACGGACACGGAAACAACA